AAAAAAAAAAAAAAAAAAAAAAAAAAGGAAAAAAGAGGAAAAAAATAAATTAGCAGAACTTTATCACAAAGGGATAGCTTCCGGCTCGTTGCTTTAACAGACCATCGTCTTACAAATTATAAAAAGTTTCCCAGACCATTTAATAACTGTTAACTGCCAGGTATCGCAACAGTCGTATAGAGTTTCCTGAACAAATTTCCAAACTTTTTAACTAGTAAGAGCGATATTCAACGGACATCGTTTCTTCAGAAGGTCTATTTAATCTGTTTACGAAGGACCGTCTCTAGTCCGAGTTCTTGATAGACTTCACCGAAGAACAGCCAAGTTGCAAACGGCACTGAGTGACTTTTAATTGTCTACTATTTAACTGTGACAAAGTTCTGTCGGTTTCTTGATTGTAAATTTTGATTGTATTTTAGAAAGAAGATTCCGACGATTATGAAGGCAAAAACAATTCTCACTGTATAACTGAGTTTTCACAGATTTAAATTTTGATTGCAGTGACCCTTATATTTACTGTTTGAACGAAATGGTTAAGGTTGAAGCTTCCTGTCTCAAAACGGACTTCCCCTCTAGTTTTTAAAAAAAGAATTTTTTTATGGCATCGTGTTTCTTATGTCTATTTCGCACTGATTTACAATGAAATCAAAAGTAAGTGTGAAAAAGGCAATAAAGTCTGTGTGGCAGCCTCTATTGACTGAAGGACTGCCTGATTCAATATTCTTTGATTTGAATACTTTGTAGTTTCATGATACTTTTTTCAAGATCTTTGTCAATAAGCTCTTCAGAATTCACGAACGTTTTTATTTGGCATTTGTATCGGCATCATTGGTAAGTAAAGGGGTACTGTTGTAAAACGTGTTTTTTTTTTTTAATCAAATTTTTATCGTTGAGCGGCAAGGTATTGGAATTTGTATGCGTTATATATTATCTTTTCTTATAAGGGAAAATTTGTCTGTGTACGGCAAATATCTTCACGAAATGATTGAACTTTGTTAATTTTATTCCCTCTGTTCATCCCACTTCAAAATTTTGATAGAATTTTTTCATTGGATTTTCAACAAATTACACAATTTTTCCAAACTGTGGTGTTATCCTTTTCGGAATTTGGTTTGCAAATGTGATTTGCTTTCACTGAAAGAGCAATCAGTTAGGTACTGATGCTGATAAATGAATACGTTTTACTACTTCATGCAAAAAAAGTTGTATGCTCTTTGGTTTCTAAAAATTCAGACAAATTTTCTTAAAAGTGCGATACCAGAATGCATCAATTTCCCTGACCATTTTTTCATTTCTGAAGTACTAGTTAGATGTTTATAGTAAAAAGCAAGAATTTCTTCCATGACTGTTATTTGAATCATAGTTATGAAAAATAAAACATCGGACTTTTTGTCTGACTCAGCTGGTAGGGCGACAAGTATTATTAAAAAAATGCTATTATTTACGAGTAAACCGGTTGTTGGGTCTGTCTGTGGTCAATTTTCTCCTTAGTGTCACTGAAAGCCGCCACTTAATGTTGGTTTTAATGTATTAGTCTGTGATGTTCTGAACAATTTGATTACCGTTTTATTTAATCTTCATGATAGTCATATGATTGTACTACCAATACGTCTATAAGTCAAAACTACTTCTTTTTTTTAATCTGATAATTAAATGCAAATTTTCCAGTCAGTATTAAGCTTTACTTGTAGAAGAAAAAATTAACGGCGTTAACAACAAACTGGAGAGTAAAAAAAAAGATTATAATATTTGAAGCAATAGAAAGACTGCAAGAATTTTTTCAGCTAATAGTACCCCACGACACAATTTACAGTCTTCATAGAATGGTTCTTTGATCACTGGTTTTTGTTTTTCTAATAATTTAATGACTTTTTTTTTTCGTTTGGCCTAATTTTGTGAGGAACAGTAAGAAAATATGGTCATTTCAAATGATCTTGGAAAAAAAAAGAAGAATAAGTTTTGGTGCTGCATTTATGTATCATCACAAAATTTGGTGATCTATTCACCCGGGCAGTAAAAGTTTTCTCGGAT